CTATACTTTACTTCTCAACATGGCTTCCTGGCAATTACGCACAAGTTACTCACATCTTGCGCGTCAGAAAAGCCACTTGCAGTTTGCTTACATCTTACACATCATTCTGCTTGACCTTTTGCGCGCAAGAACTAGTTTCCTATCTCACCCATTATTAGTCATAAAAATTTATATAAACAAATAAATAAACATTTAAAATAAATAAAAGAAAATTCTGCATAAGCCCGTCATATGTCACAATAACAAGTTATAATTTTTTTTTGAGTTAAATTCGTTACGGCGAAAACTTAAGTTTTCGTTTTGCAACACTTAAATGGTCATTAGGTATGATCATAATGCAAATAAAAAAAAAATTAAAGATGCATAGTCTAAATACCATACCGTTCTGAAATTCTTTTTTTTTTTATAAGGATGTTTAATTTTGTTAATCTGGGTATCAACAAAAACTGAATTAGTGATATGGTCTTGAATAGCTTAAACTAATTCGATTACTAGACTATTGTATACTCAACAGCCAAATTAATGCGAATATCACAGGTTGAATGAGGGCAAATCAGGCCTCGACCGGCATCACGTAATCCGATATGAACATGACTTGAAACAGATATTTGGTGGAAATAGGAGACCTTTAAGATACAAATCGGGTTCATATAGGCGATCAATACATATCGGGATGCCAATAGCTCTATAGGTAAATTGGAAAATCTATAAGGCAAGCTTCGGCATTCCGATATGTATCGATCGCCTATATGAACCCAATTTGTATCTTAAAGGTAAGGTTTATGGCACGGCGGTCATGGGCATGCCACTTATATATAATCAATATATGGGATCTTTGCTAGGATTTTTTTTTTCTAAAAATAGATTTATTATGTTTTTCTTAATAAAAATCCCGTGTAACAATGGCTCGTAAGGTCATTTTGCTAGCAAAGATCCCATATGCGTACGTTTATTTTTGGAATAATGGATAGGTAACGAACATAAAATACCGGCAAGTTGTCGAAGATTTGTGAATCGTCTGGGGGGTTTTGGATGCGTTTATATGATAGCGTGCCATTGGCATGCCAGGGTGGCATCCTGGCAAGAAATTTGTCAGGTGGCATGCATACCAAATTTTTCTGCAGTGCCACACTCCCTACTTAAAGGTTTCCTATTTCCGCCAAATATCTGTTTCAAATTAGGTTCATATCGGGATTACGTGATGCTGGTTCGGGCCCGATTTACCTTCATTCGACCTGTGTATGTTCTTCACATTAAATTAGAGCCTTAAAATTTTGTCATGTACGTACACGCCACATATTCACAAATTAATAAACAAAGATTAGGAAAGTTTCAAATACGAATGAGCTACTGAAATGAACAGTTAGCATTTACTTAGCACGTATTCCTTCCTGTATAGATAAAACCCGGATATCCAACTTGATCTCAGTTTAATTTTATAAGTAATCTGGTCTATTATCTAATATAATTTGATATTATGTGACAAAGAGTCATGTGAACTGATTCCAGCCTATTATTTGTGTATCCACGATTCTTAATTAGTTAATTAAATTCTGAAAGACTGTAAATAAAACTCAATTTAATCGAGACAAGAACCTGCTAGAGCAATTTATATGGTTAAACATCTCAAAATATATAAATATGGTACAGTACTATGTGATGCATCTAATGCATTATCCGATTAGTTATGCCATATACTTCGTGATATTGCCGTTCTTGGTATATAGGAATCATATCCACAACTCTACGCACTCAGTTCCTGGTGTATTTTCATTATTGCAATTATTATGGCAATTTTCGTAACAACATTAAATAACTAATCAATAGTATATCGCGTTTCAGCCAATTTTTTATGATAATTAAAAGCCTTATATTCATCCTTTTCAACTCCAATTCCATAAAAATAAAAATAGCTGACATTCTTTATTGTAATAGCATGACCCATATCAGCAGATTTTTGATAATAAATGAATGCCTGATTTCATCCGTTTTAACACCAGTTCCTTGCCCATAACGACAACCAACATTAAAAGTTCCAATAATATGACACATATCAGCAACTTTTGAATGATCTATTTTCATATTTATTAACTCCAAATATTCCTTCAGCAAGTTCCATATCAAGTACATTCGTTTGATTATTATGAAATTTTGTCAAAATTTTTTTTACTAAGTTCAGACAACTTAAAAATAAAACTTTTGCCTATATAAAATTTTGGTATTAATATTTGGATAGCATCAAAATTATAAAAACATAAATTTCAATTATACATACAGTCCGACCTCTCTATAGTCACCTCCTATATATGCACATTTTCTTTATAAAAATACTTTTTTAAAAACAAAATATTATTAAATATAATAAATTTGACCTCTATAACTGTCACACTTCTCTACAATCACACATTTTGTATCCTAAGTGTGTTGTTATAGAGAGATTTGACTGTACTCTGTATAGTATTTTTAACAACCTCTCATCATTGCTAAAATTTGTTTCATCATTGTGGTGTCCGGAAAACTGCGACTCGGTCGCTCCACAATCCAAAACGTCGCGTAACCAACGACTGGTAACCTTTCGAAAGAGGTGTGTTAGATTTGGCTGGTGGACGATTAAGGCTTTTGGTTACTCGGGGTCAACGACGGCAAGTTGAGTAAGTCACGTGATCAAGAACTTGGTCAAACGACGATTTTTATGAAGTTTATAGAGTTTGTGTTGGGTTTAATGTTACGGTGATATTGGAAATCGAATATAATGTGTGGATTTATTTTATTTAATAAAGCAAACGAAGCATGATCTCTTCGTGGGCCATCTTGGCCTTTATTTATATTGATTATTTCCGTCGCTTACAAATGCGACTTTACATTTAATATTCTATAAAACTATTTAAAACTGTTTACAATTATTTCCCTAATATTTTTAAGGATGGTTAATTTGTACGTACATCCTCCTATCTACCTCTTCGCATCTGAAATACCGTTTTCGATCATAAATGTAATTAATTGCACTTTCGGCATTTCTTGCATTTTTCACGTGATCGATCACGGTTTTCGAGTCTCACAATATATACCCGTGCAAATAAGCTTTCGAAAAAATCTCGGGATGTTGCATAAGACCCATACGATAACTATATTTTATCTATATTAATTACTACAAGCAATAATTATCGTAAATAAAAGCGACTTTCACTAGCTAAATTTACCTTTATATTAGTAGCAATTTATACCGTAAACAATTTGTGATGCTAATTGTGTTTGTAAAGCTTTTTATATATTGATAACTTTTGAAGAAATATTTATACAATTTAGATTTAGCTTCGAGAAATATTATTAGGCATGTAACAGATATAATTTTTTGGTCGATTTTAATACTCACCGGAGGTGAAATTCTCTATATCTCAAAAAAACGTACCAAGTAAACAGGATTAAAAATGTTCAGGACCTTCGAAAGCCTCGCGAGAACTGAAATCGGGACCTTGTATCAAATCTACAATATGATATATAAAACTCCTCCTTTATCTTAAAATCGCACCCTAACCCTACAAATTCTTAAGCTGGAAATTAAGAACCTATAAAGTACAGAATAGTTGTCAAATACGCAAGATGAAAACATTCATTAAAGAGATTCCTCAAACGTACAATAAGCAAACAAAGATTTATCTGATAGTGCCATAGATTGTCCTCAAACACCTAAATTAATAGGTCGGTGCTCGATTTTTTCATTGTCGCGATGAAAAAACAAAGATGACCATCTTTTTTTTTTTTTTTTTTTTTTACCATATACGTAGTTGTGTTGATTTGCTAGAATTTAATATCCGCATTTTGCAACAAGTTTTCACTTTGAGAGATGATTGAGATCACCATAAAACGAAAATGTTATGTATCATGAGTAAAGACAAGATCAATCAAAAATATGCACGTAAACAAATATTATAATATTTAACTACAGTAATAAAATGCCTAGCAATAAAATGTCGATATTATTAACTTTGAAAAACGATGTTATAAATACAATCCAGGTTCGATAAAATTTTTGGATGCACAGATAGTTCTGAGCATCCACAATCTAAAATATATATTTTTTATACGGATAATTAATCAAGGTTATCCAGTTAACGTTAACAAAACTTCAATGGATTACCCAGGTGGTTCTTAAACAGGCACAATCTTTAGTAGAAAATTGTGTATGATGACACAGTTACATGTGAATGATCAATAACGTTACAATAAAATTAAATTTATGTTTTATTTCAGATTTTAGTGTTTTTTTTATTTGAATTTCAATTCGCAAAGATAATGTTATTCAAAAACTGCGCATTAACATTTTTGATAATAAGCCCGATCATTGTATTCACATATTTGTATAATAACCGGATATTTTTCACGCATTTTAATCATATTTTGGATATGTCAATCAATTTTTAAGATTATACCTAAATCTACGTGTTACGCAATTAATTAATAACATCTTAATAAGGAAAAAAATCAATGCCTACAGGTGAATGAAATATTTGGATAATGATTAAATGAGAGTGAGAGGTACTTGCAGAATCGTGTAACATATTTGCTTCTACGTATATGCTATAACATTGGCTATATATGGAATAGATTCGAAACTATCCCGGACTAGCGAAAGCAAAAAAATTGAAAGAAAAAGGAAAAATAAAGAAAAATAAAGATTTAAATCGACTCTGAAGAGCTAACTAAAAGCGTTAAGAACATAATTTTGAAACAGATAATTTTTAAATGTAGCAATATACACTAACCATTAACACTAAATCTTTAATTTCACGTATGTATGCTTTTGATATTATTCCTTTTTTGTTTTGTATCACCTAAGCAAATAAATAAACATTTTTAACGTTAAGAACGCCCTAAATGAAGTTACAGTATCAAAAGAGTACTCATACCTACAAAATAGAAAACAATATTATTCTATTAGATAATATAACTTTACTATGCAAAAATTCATTCCGTTCTATAAATCGAAAAACTCAACAAATATGAGTCTTGACACTTTCAAAAGTGAATTGATGTCAAATTCGGAATATGAATGTCGAGTTAAAGTCAACCAAAGATGTTTGATCGATAAAATGTTGTCAAGGTAAATTTTAAATTTTATATTGGCAGAGAACTTTTTTTTTGTGCTAATTTAAAAAAATCTCCTAGATATTCGACCAAATTTGCTGTATTTCGAGAATTGTTACAGAATTCAGGTTCGGATTTTAATGTGAAATGCATTATTTATCCATGTAACACTTATATAAATACCTGCTTTTTAGACGATGCGACATCTTCATCTGTCGAAATAGTATTTGAGGGTACCAAAAGAGAAAACTATTCGAGATTGCTTTTTAGAAATAATGGGACGAATTTTCGGCAACAAGATTGGGACCGATTAAAGAAAATTGCCGAAGGAAACCCAGATGAACAAAAGGTATTTATGTTTATTTTAAAGAGTTATTGTGATTCGTTCTATAATTTTAATTGCTATTTATAAGATCGGTGCTTTCGGTGTTGGATTTTATTCAGTATTCTCTGTCTGTGAAGAGCCATTGTAAGTTGTCTAACTAATGTATTTTGTTAGATTATAATTGCATTTAAATTAAATGGTTTAACAATGAAAGATAGCATATATATATAATTGACGGTAAAATTACTAAATCTTGGCATTCAGCGGGCATATATGACAAAATTTATTGCAGCTTAGTAATATATTGTTGCAACTTAGAATTTTTATATTACCGTGTAGCAATATATTACGGATGCAACAATGTAAAAATTTTGCAAATTAATTTTACCATTGACTATATTTTTTTAATTTAACATTCATTAACACTTTACATTGCAATTACAGTGTATCTTCCGGTAATCTTGGCATGGCATTTTATTGGCAAGGTGATCAATTATATGTGAGGCACGGCCCCATCAATAACAGTGATTCTACATGGACTACATTCTTAATGGATATGAGAAATCCTTTGAAGGTATCAATATTTCTTTTATTTGATAAAAATTATATTTGTGTCTAATTTGATTTCTTTATTTATAGCTCCCTAACTTGGACGAATTCTGCCGTTTTTTGACAACTTCATTGGTACGATTTTCACTTTCATGATAATGCGAGAATAATTCTCATAATATATCATCATTTATTTGCAGGGATTCACAACCAATCTTCGTCAAATTTCGGTGTATTTTAATGAAAATGAATTATTCAGTATTTCGAAGAAAATTATTGGTCACCCTCGATCAATTAAAATCAAATCTGATATAAAGAGAGAATCTCCAGAAAATTTGTTTAGGCTTGAATCAGTCAATATTCATACCGTTAAATTCGAAGTTACCACCACTCCTAGGACAGTATCGTCTAGCAATCATGAAAAAAAATCCGTGTGTTTTAAAATTGCTAGTGGAAATTTGAAAGTTCAGATTCAACGTAAATTTTCCTCTGAAATGGAAAGGTTAACAAAGAAAAAGCCTCCAAGTAAAACTACCGTACAAGCTATTCTTCCTATATACTCTAGATCTTCTGATGCGACATTCGATATTTTCAAGGATTTATTACCATATCCCGAACAAGGAAATATTTTCATTGGTTTTAGAACGCATCAAACAACTAGTTATTCTATAAATTTGGCGGCTCGTGTCATACCAACTGTATGTATTATAAATGTGTTATTTTCATACATGTATATGATATGAAGTTTTATAATAATTTATCTTAGGTTGAGCGTGAATCAATTGATTTTGCCGAAAAAACACTCTCAGTTTATAATACAGAAATGTTGTGCTCTATTGGAGCATTGTGCCGTGTGTTATACGAAGATGAGATGAATCAAATCTCACAACTGTACCAACATAAATCAGGTGACAATCAACTAATGCTTGAAGAACGTTCAGTGCGCATTCTCAATCATTTTACCTTTGAGCAAAGTACTCCAGATGCTAAAGTAGGAAACATAATTGAATCACAATTTTATAGATGTTGTTCATCACAATTGTCTATATTATCTACTCATGGCGTCAAAGCCATTAATTTGATACGGTTACCCAATCCAGAGATGACTGCATTTATCAAAACTACTCCGGTTGTTCCAGAAATCATGATGGATCATTGTGAATCATTTTTTTATAGGGCAAATAGTATCTTGAGGCTCATTGAACAAATTTCAATAAATGACGTATTTGAAGAATTGAAAAAACGAACTCTGGATGTGGATGAAATGGTAGCCTTAATGAAATGGTGGATAACGAGAGATTTCTCAATAACAGATCATAACAACTTCATGCAACTGGCTACTGTTAATATTGAAAATAAGGTCTTGCATTTAAAAAATATTCGTCATTTCCAGAATCCTGGTATTATTAGTCCAGGTTTAGATGTTCCACCCAATGTGCTGCCATATGCTATTAGTCAACATTTTAATAATAAGTTAGATATAATTAAACAATATTTTAGGTATAGTACTATGTCATTCAACTTTTTCTTTCTATTTTATTTCAATTTCTCGAAATAACTATTATATTCATTTTATTTAGAAATTGGACAGAGCTTTCACTAGTTACATGGGCACGATATATTGTTGAAAAATATAAATTCAAAGATAATCCAGCTTTTGCCGAAGAATTTATAAGTACTCTTTCACGTAGCTTTAAAAATACAAAAAAGGAAGATCAGTTCGCCATATGTCAATTACTATCTAAAATTGAATGTATTCCGACTCAATTTGGTGTGAAAAGACCTGTCAAAACATATTTTCCTGATGTAACATTATTTTCAGATTTGCCCAATATTAGCATAAAAGGGGATGAAAAATTTTTCACAGAGATTGGAATAAATAAGGTAAGAAATATAATGTATTAAATTCATCCATTACATACTTTTAAATATATAATTTGCATACGTTAGTATGTTGAATTGGAAGTTGTTTTCGCTCGATTAGTTAATAGTGAAAATTTAGATCACATGAAGCTTTTGAAATATTTTGCCAAGTTTGCTGGAGATCTTAAAGATATTGATATTAAAAAATTAAAAAAGGCCAAAATTTGGATAAAGGAGTGTACTGATAGTGATAAATCTGTGAATAATGTTAATGTTCAGAGATATTTGGCAAGAGATTTGTATACCCCATGCTATCATAACAAAGAACTTGAATTGCCAATAATAAATTGGAAAGGGCATTGGAACAAACATTCAAATGAAGGTAAGTGAATAGAAAAATTTTATTCAAACAATAATCCATAATAAATTCATAAATTAATTTTAATTTAATTTATTATTTTTTTTATTAACCAAATAATTTATATATTTTAGCTAAATTTATCATTGGACTTGGGTTGCAAGAATATCCATCTATTCAAACTATTCTTCAACTTGCAGAACAACCTCAATCCCTTGAACTTCGTGAGAAAGCTCTTCAATATTTTATCAATAATTTCAAGGAAAAATATTCTGAAATATATAATTCAAATTTGATTCAGATAAAATTTTTACCATGTGTTAATAATATTTACGCAAAACCATCAGATTGTTATTCGAATCCTCATTGTACGAAGATGGGATTTAATACTTTACGCCAAGATTTATGCTTTTTGGCTAAAGAAATTGGTGTTAAAAAATATCCTGATCACAAATTGCTGCGTGACAAATTGGTACAAAATCTTCCAAACATGGACAATGCAGAAGAAATTTTCGAATTCATGTACTTTGCAACACATGAAAGTAATTCAAATTGGAAAGTACTTCAGAATATCAAATTCATACCTATCCAAGAAAAGATTTCGCCATATAAAATTACTTATCACAAGCCAGAAGAATGTTTTTTCAAAGTATTTAATGAAGAGTACGTAAACATTTTAAATATTTTCATATGTAATTTATTTTGATATTGATCTTTAAGCTTGACACGAATTTTATTCAATAAGTTATGTGGATATATTTAAATGTGTTGATTTTGGTGAAATTGCAAACAAGTTTCTAAAAGATTGTGGTGTAAAACAAGAACCATCTACATTAGAGTTAGCAGAATATCTTATTAAGTCGTCTAGGGAATTCTGGTCAAAACTAAGTAACAAGGATTCATATACTAATATCTTAGGAACTATTGCGCACAACTATGAATATTTAAATAGAATAAAACCTGGAATACTTGATACAATGAAAAGATGTCCAATCTTGTTAGGTATAAAGAAAGAAGTAGATATTTCTGGAACAATGACAGATGTTTATGAATTAGCCTGCGCTGAAGATATTTTTATAAATGATAATGATAAATATCGATGCATATTTAATCCATTAATTTGTCCATTTACAGATCGTATAGAAAAATTTTATGAAGTATGTAATCTTTGGCAATATGTTATTATAATTTTATAAGACTATTACATAAAAATTAATTTTTATATATATATTTTTTCTTGTCAAGAAATTGGGAAGTCAATCACTTGATGCTAACGTCAGTACAACACCTCAACATATTGTTAAAGAAAGGACCTCGAGTATTTCTCATAAAGTAAATGAGAAGATTTTGGAGCGAGTACCTTGGTATTACTCTGGTATTAAAGGTGGAGATTTAAAGAATGATATATCATGGATAGAAAAATTACAAGTTAAACAAACTGATCAAATTAATATGAATTATGTGCTTATTCCTAAGCATGAAACAAAGACAAATAAAATTTCTGCTTGTGTTTCGGAGAGTGGAAACAGATTGATTCTTTACATTACTAATGAAAATTACACAGATATTGCAAATGCATTAGTCCAACGTATCCATCGTCGTCCTGAAAGACAACATTGTACAAATTTGTACCTTTATTTAACCTCTTCAATAGAACAACTTCAGCAACTAGGCTATCCTACTGAAAATATAAATGTGAATATTAAAAATGTAAAGATTGATGAATTACCAAACGCACCAAAACCAATAAGCGAATTATCTACCGCTGAATTCGAGAACATGTTACTTGAGGGGATCACATCATGTAAATCAAACCATAATCGATCTATCCCGGCAAACAATAATTCTGTGGAAACTTTTGTTACTGAAGAAAAATATTATGGTAACATGAACGTTTTTTATTATGTGATATATTTATCAATTATTTTATTTTATTTTAGTAATTTTACTTTATTATTTTCAAAATAGATTCACCTTTAAATTATGTTACAACTATAGATTGTATTGAACTTCATATTAAAGATACTTTAGATCCGTCTATTCTTTTATTTCCTACTGTAGCTATGGAAGGAAATATAAAAAAATTCATTAGTGTTCTTGTTAATGTTGC